AAAATCCACTTACAAATTGTGGAGCAAAGGCCTCGGCTCCTCACTGGCTGCTGGCAGAAGGCCTGAGTTCTTGATCACAGGGGCATCTACACTGGACACCTCGAACGTCCAAAGGGCAGCAGCTGTCTTCCCCCAGAGGAAGAGATCCAAGGATAGCAAGGAGCAGGCCAGGTGTCTGCTCTGATCAGGTCTCTCAACTTGCACAATGTCACTTCCCATTTTCCTCTGTTTGTTAGAACACATCACTGAGTCCAACTCACATTCAAGACTATTCTCCGTCTTTTAAAGGAGGGTCAAAGAATTGGAGGACATATTTGAAATTAACTTAATTTCCAACGCTTCTCAAGAATAAAGCAGAGATCAGAGATGAAAATGTGTACACACACACGTACACACATACACACACGCGTGCGCGCGGGCCCCCTCCGCACACACACATGGTCCTCACTCTGCCTTGTGGAATCTGTGATGGAAGCAGCAGTATCAGAAAGAACCATGGTTGCCAATATATTTTTCTTGTTTTATGAAGTCAGCTGAAAACAGTGAGGGTAAGGCAGGGGCACATCAGTATTGAATCAGACATCAAAAAGGCTTGGTTTTGAGACCTCAGTTTCTGACTCTGACATTACTTAGCTCTTTCACTACCTACTACCTTCAAAATAAGAGTTACTTGGGACTCATGATAGTAAAGAGATGGAGCAGGTGAAAGAGCCATTTTTGTTAGGACCAAAGAGATAGACTCCACGACAGTGCTGTACAAACAGCTAGATGCGGTACAGTTATGACTACCAGCATGCCTACCTCAGGAAGGGGACACAAAAGAGACAGTGAAGAGCCAGTACTCTCAGGTGACCCTCATGTTTTCTCGGGGTACCCCCTCTGGGTCTGTGTACTTTCATGGAGAGGTTAGCAGCTCTCTTATATGAAATTAAGCAACTCCACCTACGGGAACAGGCTTCTCCCTGCTCAGAACTGCATTTTCATTCTGATGGATCAAACCTCCCTTTGGTGTTCCTAGCAGTTAGGACAGGAAGGAACTTGTAAAATGTTTCTGAGCAGTTGACCAGACAAGTCACTCCTCCTGAGGACTTCCAGATCCTCAATGAATTTTTAATCTACCATCTATCTTGAAAGAAACAGTTAAAAAGGAACTGTAAGTATGAAAGTTTCTAGAAACATTCTGCGCTTGTAGGTATGTCTGTACATACATATTAAAGTATTACTGACAGAGATACAAGTAGAGATATATGCCAAACTTCTTATGGTACAGAAGAGCATCCTCAGAGTTCTGGCAAAAAGAATGTGACTCAAAACAGGAAAAATGTCAATCTTCACAAAAAACAACCTTATAACCACCTATGAATGTGCAAGTATCTGAGAAAGATCATTCCTAATTCTTTGCAAATTCCTTTCCCATCTTCTCTTCCCTAGTGTGTTTGGCCTCTTCAAAGAGATCCAAGAAATTCTAAGAATTTCGCCTATTCAGTGAGTTTTAAGGAGTCTCATTGTCATGAAGCAGCTAACATGAAAGCATTCCACAGCCACTGCATGTAAAAGCTAAAAAGTACAAAGCATATCTACACAGAGATAAGGAAAGAGCTTGCAAAATAATACTCTCTAATCCTCCAACCCTGGTGGAGAAGACACACTCACATAAAAAAAAAAGTTTCCCCCAAAAAAGTATCTTTAGCCAATAAGTAAAACATCCAAGAAGCACTATAAGAATAAGTTTAAAGGTCCCCTGCAGACATAAAAGATGATCATGAGAGGGAACACAAAAGCTCAGGGTGTTCAAGTGCTAGAAAGCCACCTGCGGGTTCCCTTCTTCACACAGCAGAAAAGGAGAATGACTGAAATTAGAAACATGTAGGCATTCCACATTTTCAAAGTCAAATAAAGGGGCCAGAATTTTGTTCAAAAGGAAAAAGGAAAATCAAAGCTCCTTCGCTGAATTCAACTAGCATAACTCTGTGCTGAGGGGTGAAGCAAGGACTACTTTTTTTTTCCCTCTTCATTTTGTTTTCCTAGAGCCTCCCTCTGAAGCTAGGTATCTGGAACAGTTTATTGGGACGTGTTCAAGTCTAGATCACAGCCCAATACCACCAAGCAAGGAACCGTGAAGCCTGTTCACAAGAGCCTTGCTTGTTTGAGACAGATAAGCAAGGCCGTGTGTTAGGAAGTTTCTCGTGGGGAGGGGGGACAAGCTGACTCTTCCTAGACAGCCAGGAAAAACCCTGTTGAGCTTGCGTAGGTCCCTAAGCGCCTTGTTCTACGATGTCCATAAATCAGTTTTGCACAGGCAACTGTGGAATAGAGAAGGCCCGGAATCTGAGAGTTTACTTTGTTAAAGAACTTATTAAGGAGTTGGCCTGTCCTGGCAGCGTTATGCACAGACAGCTCCTCACATTCATTAAGAGCTACCGAGTTGCTCCTCTCGATCATCACCAAAGCTGAGAGACAAAACCAGGTTTTGAAAATATTTCAGAGACATTAAAATCAGTGCATTGCAAGGAGAGCAGGTTTTAGATGTGATAAGATGAAAAGTAAATTCACATTTTGTTATATAATGGCAGAATGACTTCGATAATCAACATTTCTGGGCCTCAGCTGAGACAGAGCGAGAACTGTAAAGAGAAAACAAGCATCTCCATGAAACGTACTTTACATGAAATAAGTGAGCCCCAACAGTCACACTGACCTCTGATTCCAACAGTGCCCAGGCTATCAGAAAATAGAACAGATGAAATATATGTACCCCAAAAGACAATGAAGGTGCAGCTACCAGCCTCCACAGTAACCCCCAGTGACCTCCCCTTTTAGCATTCATAGCCTTGAGCAGTCAGTCACCGTCCACAGTGTATCAGGGTCGGACAGTACCATGAGTAGAGTGAAGGTTTGTACCTGAAAGACTTAGCTGAATAAAGCATTAAAACTTCCATCTCAGTCTTCCATCTGTCTGTCTGTCTCGTGCCACTTAACTTTGGAAAAGCCAGATGCCAGGTCAACTGAGCAAATGCTACAGAAGAACAAGGGGAGAGAGCTGAGGTTCCATGCCCAGAGCACCATGACTAAGCTTAGGCGTGGATTGTCCGGCCCCAGCAGAAGACCACAGGGACCCAGAAACTTCATCAGCAACCTGAGCAAGAACCACCAGGTCAGCCATGCCCAGGTTCCTGTCTCTCAGCCATCAGATAACACACAGACGTGAAAGTGTAAGTTAAAACCACAGTGACTGATGCTGCCAAGGACCAACAGAAATGCAGGCTCATAAAAGACATGACAGTGTTTCCTCATTCACCTTATTCACCAGATCTGGTAACCATACAACTTCTGGCTCTTCTCCAAAGTCAAAATGACCATGAGAAGTAAATGTTTTGAATGGATTTAGGACATGGTGCAGCTACAATAGCACAACTAAAGAACCTCACAAAGAGGACTTCTAGAAATGCTTCAGAAAGTGGCGAAATGATGGGATAAGTGCAGTGAAACAGAGGAGCAGTATTTTGAGGTACATCTGTAGCAACGTGTCTTTTAATGTAATAAATTTTCAAAATTTTAAATATTCATTATGCTTTTATCTAACGCTGCAGGGTATCTGTCACACAGCAACAGAAACATCAGGCTCTCTTAAGAGTTGTATGGTTTAGAAGAGGAAGAAATGCTTGAAGGCTGGCAGTTCTTTGTCGAAAACAAAGATCACACTGCTGAAGGAGTTTGTGAGAGGTGGTGAAAGCATGACCAAGGGTGAACCAGGTGGAGGGGCAGAAAAGTAGCCCATAAATTTAGTGAGCAATAAATTTAGTACGCTGCTGCTATGCTTTGGATTTAAAATGTCCCCCAAAGGCTCATGTGTTCATAGGTGAGGCTTTTGAAAGATGATTTTTAATATACGTGCTCTGACTTCATCCATGGACAGATTTGTCATTTGATGGAAGCTGATGGAGACTTAGGAGGTGAAGCCTAGACAAAGGGAGTGAGTCACAGAGCCCTTGAGAACTATATCTTTTCCTCGGCCCCTTCTTCTCAGGCTCTCTGTCTCTCTGCCTCCTGATCACCACGGTGTGAATGACTGTCTTTCCACCATGGTGCATTGTTTCATCATTGGTCCAGAAACAATGGAGCCCAGTTAGCATGGACTGAGACCTCTGAAAGCTTGAGCCAAAATTAGATTTTCCCCCTTCAAACTGTATTTTTCAGGTATTTTATTACAGGGAGTGAAAGCTGACTAACACATGGGTCATGGATCCTGGTCAGTGTCTACATGGACTTGGGCAATGGAGAGCATGTAGGGGCCTCAGACAAGGAACAGTGACCAGAAATGAGATTCTCCATTTGTAGGCACAAAAAAAAAGATGGAGAAGCTGCATTAAAAAAGAATCAAGCTCAAAGGGGGGTCTTCTGTAAAGCCCCAGAGGAAGAAACAAATAGCTCAACCAGAGCACAAGATAAAGCATTCTGGAAGGATGAAGTAGGAAGACTGCAAGTACAAGCCCAGCCTGTGCAACTCAGTGATTTAGCAAGACCCTGTCTCAAAATACAAAAGTAAAAAGGACAGGGGAAGTAGAATAATGGTGGGAGGGGTTGGAAATGAAGAGGAAAGAGAAGGAGAGCACGGACATGTGCACCACAGTGAACCCCGGCCTCGCACAGCTGGCTGTCAGAGCCTGGGGTTTCAGAACACTCATCTACTCATTTACTCCACAGGAAGCTACCAAGGGGCACATTTTTCAGTCAAAGCCCCACCATTCATGCATACAACATGCTGCCCTGGTACATGATACACTACACTACAATATTAATACCATAAATATCGTGGATGTAACAGATAAAAAATTATAGCAAATATAGAAAATTTGCTTTGTCTTAAATCACCTCAACCACACGAATTGACTCCACGTTACACCGTTAGCTTTAATAAAAACAAAGTCAAATAGTAATAATCATAAAAGAGGACACACTACAGCAGTAACATGAAGAAGATTCAGGGAACAATCCTTTACCGTAGTGACAGGTCCAAGGAGGAAAGCACTGAGGAACAATATTAGTAATATCAATCTCATCAACTCTTCTCATGTGAGGAAAAAAGGAAAAAAAGAAGCATCAATGGAGATTCAAAAAGCACTTCAGTCCTGGGATCTTTGGGTTCTTTAGGATGTGGCAATTGTCCAGTTACTAAGCGACTGTAGAATCTATAGCTCGTATTAAAGGTAACTGAAGTCGGGCTGGGGATTTAGCTCAGTGGTTCCACCCCTGCCTCGCAAGGGCAAGGACCTGAGTTCAATCCCTGGTACAAAACAAACAAACAAACAAAAAAGGTAACTGCAGTCACCCTACTGAGACTTTGGCAGGAAAAGTGACACAAGGGCCCAGCACTTTGGCACACTGCTCTTGACTCACAGAAGGCTTAAGGGACTGGAAGAGAAGCAATATGCCATCGGAATGAAAAGGCGTACTTGGCCTTTCCTTTCTACCTACGGATGGGCAGTGCCCATCTGCTTTTGCCTAAGAAGAGGTCCTTGAGGTAGAAGGCAAGGAAGTTAAAGTGATTGGCCTGGGAGACAGAGTCAGGAGATTTGATCAGGACATAGCAGCCAAGTTTCCTAGGAGAATAGTATGGTCCAACCCACGAGAGCTCCAATCAGGTACATACAGAGCTCACTGAAGGATTCTCTGTCACCTAGTCCACTTGTAGGACTACAAAACTCAACAAGTGCAAGGAAGCACTCTCCCATTTTCAACAAATCCCAGGGGAATGCTGATCGGCCACACTTCCTGTGACGGAAAGGTGCTCAGGGCCCAGCTTTCTTGTGTTGCGCGATCAGACAAGGGGCTGTCATTTGTTATCACCTCTGCCCAGGGCTCACTGTTAGAACCACAGGGAGGCTAAGCATCCGTCCAGGTTTAAAAGCAAGGCGACATTTGCTCATGAAAATTGGACAGGATAAATTCACAGAAACACATACATCTCTGTATTTGGAAAACAGTGAAGACTGCCAGAGGAAGTGTATATGGTATGTAATATAAACAAGAAAGTTGGGTTGAAAGAGCATGCCCACCCTCCTCCAAGTTGTAACAGAAGGACCTGTATTCACATCCTGGCTTTGCCTCTCACCGGGCGTAAGATCTGGAGGCCATTTCACTTTCCTGAGCTTTGCTTTCATCGACTGTAAAATAGAAATAAATGCCCCCCTCTGTGCCCGCCTGTCAAGAAGGTGACAAGAGAGAAGTACCTACATTCAGAGTCCTTGGTGCAGGCTTTCGGGCGGCCGTGGGCCCCCTCCAAGCACAGGGATGAAGAGCCTCCTGGAGTGGCATGTGCCTTCCAAGTCCCCCAAGGTGACATGGGCCACAGCTCCTGTCCTCTCCGCTCTGGCGTTGGCCCTCCTCCTGCCCTACTGTGCTGGCTTCATCTGCTTATTATGAAACATGCTCTTGTTGTCCAGGTTTTACTTTGTGCTCAACTCTGTTCTATTTCTGCCTCCCTGGCCAGAAACCCACCCTGAACACCTGAATGGCCCCAACCCCTACCAGTCCAAGAGGACCTGGAAATGCACCCACAACTACCTTGCCATTCCCTCTGTGGCTGTGGGGCCTGGATACACAGTAGCCATGGACAGAATTTATTTTCAAACCTTTTGAAGGTAATGAGCACTTTTTGTCGTCCCAAACACCAGTAATAGTCACATGAGTTAAATCTCCCTATCTCATCTCCTCCCATGTCCCCGTTGTGATGTGGCTGCTTCAAAGGCCTAAGGGACTTTTCCTGAGACCTTTGCTGCCGCAGCCCTCCTCAGCTCCCTGTGCTTCCCTCTCAGACTGATTCATCAGAGGACAGGCCTCACCACAGCGTCCAAACTTAACACACAGCTCCCAAATCTTCCTACAAGCACATCTCCCCTGATACCTCTCTGCTCTGGCTAACAGGCAGTGCAGCAACTCCAAGAGATTAGGTGGGAGCCCGAGTCCTCTCTGGAAGACGCCCCCAGGCTCCAATAGGCTGGGAACTCCAACAGGAGGTGAACCGCCTTCACACCCTTCCCCAGCTTGACCCTTCTCCACAGCAACTCTTAGGGACCAGCCAGTTCCCACACAAGGACCCCATTCACACACAGCCATATTTTGCCTGGAAAAGAGAAACCCGAATAGGAAAGAGCCCTCCTTTGATGTACAGGAGAAAGTCCACTTTCAAGGTTCCCATCTCTCAGCAAGACATTGGGTTGGCAGCCTCTTTGCTTTTTTTCCCTCCAAAGGAAGGCCAACAAGACTAAAGCTCTGCCCTTTTCATTGCCACTTGGAACTTTTACAACTGGTGATTATCAGCCTCTTAAACAAGAGTGATCCTCCACTCACTATAGATCTGGGTAAGTAAATTTGATTCAAATTTAAAAGAACCATGTATCCATTGTCCCACATCCTTGAGAAACTCGGAAGTTGCAGACTAAGTGATAAGAAACTTAATGAATAGTCAAAGAAGGATTACAGGGTGACCAGAGCACATTGTTCAAATGACATAATTTACTGAGTAAAGAGTTGTTTTTTTTCCCTGTGTTAACTAAGAGCCAGGGAAAAAGTAACACCAAACACTTTCAGCAGTTACAAGTCACGGGAAGAACACTGTACCATTCCTAACTGCCTTCGAGTCCAAAAACGTGCTCACTGCACAGCAGCCTGTGTGAACTTCGCAGTGACACTCTCCCGTCTGAACATCACAATCACCATTTACAAACTTTTTCTCCTACATCGCTGACTGGCTGAGCATCCCTGCCTAGGTTCTGATTATAATTTCCCATCACCAGACAAAAGGGTTGCAAAAGTAAAGAAATCTTTGGCCTCTGTTCCTTACCCCACACATATAGATTCGGTATCCAACAGTTTGATGATCTCTTACTTTTCCGCCAGGCCCTGGGGAAGGACAAAGGGAAGGACAGGGCAAAGACGACACAGTGAAACTTCACCCTGGCCCCTCTTCTTTTCCCTCCACTAAAGGTTTAAACAGAGCAGTGCACAGGGATCCACACTGACTCTCTCCAGTAACACCCTTAGCCAAATCACTGTGAAATGGTGCTCGCTCAGTCTTTTTACGCTGTCTTATTTACACTCTAATCATAGCCATCATCTAATTCTATCAGTTATGAGTCCCCTACTTATGAACGTTTGAGTTGTGATCTTTCACAGATACAAACGGACCCCTCGCATTACAAACATCTGTAGATGCAAACACATTTCAGAAGCAGCTCACGCGTCTGCTGGACACCGTCACAGTTATGCTGCTGTATCCTACTGTACAGTGAGAGTGGACAGTGGTGCAGTGCTCAGTCAGAGCCCAGGATGCCCGGAAGCAAGAGGAAAAGCAATCCCCTCTATGCCAGTTGTCATACTGTACTAGACAACCATTTTATAGTAACTGTGAAAGTAGAAATAGTTCACTTGCAGTATTTTGTATGTGTGTGTGTGTGTTTAGTTTTTTATGCTTTACATTGCATATCTGTGTCAAGGGTGTGTAAGACTCATGCTGTCGGACTTAGGAATGAATGTGACTAAATAAATGCTCACTCAGAGTGGAACTTGTTTGTAAGTCAGGAACTTACTGTTATAAAACTTACACAGCATTTCCTATTACTTTGTAGAAGCCCTTCTCCCATGCATATGTTACATACATATAATCACAGTAATAAAGCTGTGATAATACAGAAAACAGTATTTATTGGGTACTTACTATACACTAGGTTTACAGAACTTCATGTTATTTCAACAAATCTTCACAGAAATCCTGCAATGCAGGTATATCGTTTCGGCCTTCAGTTGTATTTCCAATTACCTGCTGTATTATCTATCCCTCCTTGTTCTCCCCTCCATATCACAAACCACCCGGCGATTCGGATGCACATCCACAAACCCACACCACGCCAGTCACTGACTCCCTGCTTCCAAATCCCAGCCCAACGGCATGACCTTGCCTCTTATGGCAGTTGGAGATTTGGGATTCTAGCCATTTTTTTAAAATTAGAAATACACCAAAAATGGCCTCAACAAGAAATCACACAATTTTACTGAGAATAAAAGGAACGGTCAAAGTACGCTCAGAATGTCTACTGAATACACAGAATATGGCTGGCTTTCATTCCTGCTCTTTGTACAGTAAACTCGGAATCAGTGGTCTTCTCAGAACTTCTCGCTTTCCCTTTTCTCCTCTACCTGTTTCGAGCCACAAGGGTATAAGCACACATGCCAGCTACCCTGTGCAGGGCACCCGATTTCTGCAAATGTTTTGATTAAATGCCGATTAATTTATGATCTCCCAAATGATCTTATCGGAGGACTCCCTGTACCTCTTTATTTGGAGGTAGCAAGTAGAGCACAGTTGCAGATAACTTACCACCACCTGGAAGCAGAGGCTCAGAAATATCCTGGAAGGGGTCACGCTCAGTCTCCGTGGTCCTGGGGTCAAGCAAGTCGGAAAGAACCTAAATCTTCAGTAGTGCCCAAGATAACCATGGAGTTATTTGTCAAAGCAAGACCCTGACCATTGAGTCTCAGAAACCAACATTAGTTTGCTGGCTCAATGTTGAAAATAAATTCATAAGCCAGTAAACATGGAGGCTCATCAGTAAGAAATGCTGGATGCATCAGATTCACTCATCCGGGACATCAAGCAGAGAGAGAGAGAGAGAGAGAGAGAGAGCAAGAGAGAGAGAGAGAGAGAGAGAAAGAGAGAAAGAGAGAAAGAGAGAGAAGGAGAGAAAGAGCCTGAGCTTGACTGGGCTAGAACTAGGTCCATTCCTTGGCTACACCATTTGGCACAATTTAGGGAACTTGGAAACGGTGTCTCTCGAAGGCCAAAATTCCTCAATATAAAATAGGATTGCGATCAACTCTCATGAAAAGTTAGGATCATGTGATTCTCAAAGCATGGTAGATGCTTTAACTTCCTTCATTTCTGGGTTATGACAAAGTAATACCATTCACCCTAACACCTCAAAGTCAAAAGTTCTCACAGGATAACCAATTTCCAGCTCAGCACTGCCCCACATCGGTTGCCTAGACTACAAACACAGTAATCCCTCAGACTGCCTCGCAATTTACTTTAAACTGGCTAAAGCAATCTAAAGCCGCTGCATAGCACTTTTCCCTGAGG